GATGAGGATGAGGATGAGGATGAGGAGGAGGAGGAGGAGGATGAGGAGGAGGAGGAGGAGGAGGAGGAGGAGGAGGAGAAAGAGGAGGCGAAAGGGCAGAAGGACTATAGGCTTCTTGGATGCTTCTCGGAGTCTCTTCGGATATATCTTGACAGCTTCTTGTAGGCCTCTGGGGGTGTCTTGGGGGCCTCTTGATGGTCCAGGGGGCCTCTTGAAGCGTCTTGGGTCTTGGGTGCCTCGGGAGGGCCTCTTGGTGCCTCTTGGGAGTTTCTTGTAAGCCTCTTGGGAGCCTTTGGGGGACCTCTTGGAGGCTTCTCTGGGCCTCCTTTGCGCCTCGTGGGGCCCTCCGGGGGCACTCTTGGGAGCCTCGGGTGCCATCTCGGGGCCATCTTGGAGGATAGCGATCCAAGACGGGGGGACCAGCCTTTCGTTCCCAGGGACTCTGGGCCCCAGGGTTTGGAACATTCCCCCGGAGGCCGAGAGCGTCGAGAAGCCAGCCGTCGCGATCTTCTCGAGTCGCCAGAGATCGGGCGGAGGAGCGCAGGAGAGGCGCACCAGCTCCTCATCTCCCTAACTACTCCTCCTGCTGCTCCTCCTCCGCCTGCTCCGCCATCTTCCAGTCCCCCTCCCCAGCCGTGATTCATCATCGTCAGCCATCCCAGCCCCGACTGGGCCTGGGTAAGTTAGCTCCTCCAGCGCACCAGTGCGGAAGGGTGCAGAGCGAACACCGAAGGAGACGCCATCCCCCCCTGGGGGCAGGTCGGCCCTTGGTGGCTTGCCCAGGCTGACCTCTGCACTGTAGAGGAGGAGGGGGAGGAGGAGGAGGAGGAGGAGGAGGAGGAGGAGGAGGAGGAAGAGGAGGAGGAGGAGGAGGAGGAGGAGGAGGAGGAGGAGGAGGAGGAGGCGGAGGAGTTGGCCCAGGCCTGCCCAGTTTCTGTGCCACTCTGCCGCGTCGAGCAGGGACGCGCTCCTCACCCCCAGCCCTTGTCACAGCAGGCCGGCGCCTCTCCCCTCCCCCGCGGCCGCGAGCCCTCCCCTCCCAGCAGGCGGCGCGACGCCCGGCGCGGCGGGCGGTGCGCTCCGCGGCGGCCCCGCAGGCGCTCGCCGAGCTCCCCGTGCGGGAGCTCCCCGCGCCGAGCGGCCCCCTCCTGAAGCGGAGGAGGGGCAGGCCGCCGGGGGAGGCGGCCGGCTGCGCGGATGGGGCCCGAGCAGCACCGCCCCGCGGGCCCGTGGGGGAGGCCCCGGGCCCGCTCGGGGTCGGAGGATGGCGCCGCCTCGCCGGTGCGGCGCGAGCCCCTGCCAGTTCTTCCTCCATGCCGACGGCGCATCATCGCCGATGCGGCTCGATCTGCCGACCCCAGCTGCTCAGACCACATCCGGGCGGCCTCCTCTGCAGGACCCTCTCCCTGAGGTCGTGGCGTCGTGAAGCGGTCTCGTCGTGCGTCTTCGCCTGGCTTCGGGCTCCCGGGGCCCTCGTGGACCGGCGCGTCTTGGGGAATCTCGCATCACGATGCTTGCTGGCTTTTGGCACATCCCGCCGCCTTGCCTTGGAAGGGGGTCTCTTGGGTGACCTCTTGGGGCTTTCTTCAAGGGCTCTTGGGGGCCTCTTGGGGTCCATGTGGAGGCCTCTTGGTGGGCTCATGTGGACCTCTCGGGGCCCCGGCGCCCTGATGTGGGGCTGCAGGCGGCCTTGGGAGCCATCTTGGGCTCTTGGATTTGATGTCGCTCCACTCAGTGCCTCGCAGCGCGGTGACGGGTTCAGGGCCGAGGGCTGATTTTTCACGACGTTTTCATCTTAGACCTCGGGGCTTTCCACTGTTACATCGGTCCTGTCCCAAGCGCATCGTCGCCCCAGGATCGGTGAATATTCCTTCCTGGACTGACACAGAGGACACGTGCATCGGCCTTTCGGCCCAGAACCACCCGGCTCGGATCGGTGAAGGTGGCCTGTTGGCGCCCTCCCTGCCCTCTCCCCCCCCCCCCCTCGGGAGGCTGGCGAGTGCCGTGGGCGTGTAGGGCCAGGCGGGGTCCTGGCCGCCGCAAGCTGTCGCAGCCCAGAGCGCCGAGTCGGCGCCCACGCCGTCTGCGCCCAGGGCTCCCGCGTGTCCCCGCGGCTGCCCTTGGCCGCGGCGTCCGCGGCGTGGCCCCGCAGGCGCAGGGCGCGGTCGAGAGCTGGGTGTACGGCCATGGCACACCTGAGGCCAGGCGAGTTCTGGCCACAGTCGGGGCCGTCGGCCCCACGCTGGCCCTGCGCGCGGCGTCGTCCGCAGCGAGGACGGCAGGGACGAGCTGCAGCAGGCCGGCGGGGCCGCACCTGTGGCAGCTGCTGCTTTTTCTTCTATGTCGTCCTCCTCCTCCTCCTCCTACTATTACTACTACTTCTACTACTACCACTACCGCTACTACCTACTACTACTACTACTACTACTACTACTACTACTACTACTACTACTACTACTACTACTACTACTACTACTACTACTACTACTACTACTACTACTACTAACTACTACTACTACTACTACTACTACTACTACTACTACTACTACTACTACTACTACTACTACTACTACTACTACTACTACTACTACTACTAGTACTACTACTACTACCCTACTACTACTACTACTACTACTACTACTACTACTTCCACTACTCCTACTGACATTACTACTACCACTACTACTACTACTACTACTACTGCTGCTGCTACTACTACTACTGCTTCTTTTTCTACTACTACTACTACTACTACCAGTTCTACTTGTATTACTACCACTACTACCACTACTACTACTACTACTGCTACTACTACCTAATATTTCTACTACTACTACTACTTCTACTACTACCACTACTACTACCATTTTTATTGTTACTACTACTACCACTACTACTACTACTACTACTACTACTACTACTACTACACCACTACCACTACCACTACCACTACCACTACCACTACCACTACTACTACTACTACTACTACTACTACTACTACTACAACTACTACTACTACTACTACGACTAGTACTACAATTATTACTACTACTACTACTAGTACTACAACTACCATTACTGTGATTACTAGTACTTCAGTTATCATTTTTATTTTTATTACTCCTCCTCCTCCTCCTCCTACTACTACTACTATGACAACCGCTACTACCTATTATACTACTACTACCACTACTACTACTACCACTACTACTACTACTACTACTACTACTACTACTACTACTACTACTACTACCACCACTACCACTACTACTACTACTATTTCCCCACATGCTTCGTGGGGTTCTGGTTTTCTTCCTTGCCGCGCCGCACCCGCGACACTCCCACACACACCTCACTCTTCCTCTCCTCCTCACAGCACTGCTCAGCACATCTCAGCTCAGCTCAGCTCAGCTCAGCACGGCACAGCTCAGCACAGCTCAGCTCAGCTCATCTCAGCACAGCACAGCGCAGCACAGCACAGCACAGCATAGCTCAGCCCAGCTCAGCACAGCACAGCACAGCTCAGCTCAGCTTAGGGGGTGCGCAGGGGGTGGTCCCTCACCGCGGCCGCACGCAGGAATGCAGGGTGCGGCAGGCGTGGCAATGTCTCCACAACAAAGGCGGTGCGCGGGGGGTGCGGTCTCTATGCGTTGCAGGCGCGCAGGGCACGGCAGGCGCGGCACTCTCTCGACACCAGGAGGGTGCGCAGAGGGTGCGGTCTCTATGCGTTGCAGGCGCGCAGGGCACGGCAGGCGCGGCACTCTCTCGACACCAGGAGGGTGCGCAGAGGGTGCGGTCTCTATGCGTTGCAGGCGCGCAGGGCGCGGCAGGCGTGGGAATTCTCGACGCCAGAGGGGGTGCACATGGGGTGCGGTCTCTATGCGTGGCGGGCGCGCAGGGCACGGCAGGCGTGGGGATTCTCGACACCAGGAGGGTGCGCAGGGGGTGCGGTCTCTATGCGTGGCAGGCGCGCAGGGCACGGCAGGCGTGGGAATTCTCGACACCAGGAGGGTGCACAGGGGGTGCGGTCTCTATGCGTGGCAGGCGCGCATGGCACGGCAGGCGTGGGATTTCTTGACACCAGGAGGGTGCGCAGGTGGTGCGGTCTCTATGCGTTGCAGGCGCGCAGGGCGCGGCAGGCGTGTGAATTCTCGACACCAGAGAGGGTGACCACGTGGTGCGGTCTCTATGCGTTGCAGGCGCGCAGGGCACGGCAGGCGCTGCATTTCTCGACACCAGGAGGGTGCGCAGGGGGTGCGGTCTCTATGCGTTGCAGGTGCGCAGGGCATGGCAGGCGTGGGAATTCTCGACGCCAAAGGGGGTGCACATGGGGTGCGGTCTCTATGCGTTGCAGGCGCGCAGGGCGCGGCAGGCGTGGGAATTCTCGACACCAGAGGGGGTGCACACCGGGTGCGGTCTCTATGCGTTGCAGGCGCGCAGGGCACGGCAGGCGCTGCATTTTCTCGACTCCAGGACGGTGCGCAGGGGGTGCGGTCTCTATGCGTTGCATTTGCGCAGGGCATGGCAGGCGTGGGGATTCTCGACACCAGAGGGGGTGCACAAGGGGTGCGGTCTCTATGCGTTGCAGGCGCGCAGGGCACGGCAGGCGCTGCATTTTCTCGACACCAGGAGGGTGCGCAGGGGGTGCGGTCTCTGTGCGCTGCAGGCGCGCAGTGTGCGGCAGGCGTGGCACTTTCTCGACGCCAGAGGGGGTGCACAGGGGGTGCGGTCTCTATGCGTTGCAGGCGCGCAAGGCACAGCAGGCGCGGCATTTTCTCTACACCAGGAGGGTGCGCAGGGGGTGCGGTGTCTATGCGTTGCAGGTGCGCAGGTCACGGCAGGCGTGGGAATTCTCGACACCAGAGGGGGTGAACAAGGGGTGCGGTCTCTATGCGTTGCAGGCGCGCAGGGCACGGCAGGCGCTGCATTTTCTCGACACCAGGAGGGTGCGCAGGGGGTGCGGTCTCTATGCGTTGCAGGCGCGCAGGGCGCGGCAGGCGTGGGAATTCCCGACACCAGGCGGGGTGCACATCGGTTGCGGTCTCTATGCGTTGCAGCCGCGCACGGCACGGCAGGCGTGGCATTTTCTCGACACCGGAGGGGGTGCACAAGGGGGTGCGGTCTCTATGCGTTGCAGGCGCGGGCACGGCGGGCGCGGCATTTTCTCTACACCAGGAGGGTGCGCAGGGGGTGCGATCTCTATGCGTTGCAGGCGCGCAGGGCACGGCAGGCGTGGGAATTCTCGACGCCAGAGGGGGTGCACATCGGGTGCGGTCTCTATGCGCTGCAGGCGCGCAGGGCACGGCAGGCGCTGCACTTTCTCGACGCCAGGAGGGTGCGCAGGGGGTGCTGCGGTCTCTGTGCGCTGCAGGCGCGCAGGGCGCGGCAGGCGTGGCACTTTCTCGACACCAAATGGGGTGCACAGGGGGTGCGGTCTCTATGCGTTGCAGGCGCGCATGGCACGGCAGGCGCTGCATTTTCTCGACACCAGGAGGGTGCGCAGGGGGTGCGGTCTCTATGCGCTGCAGGCGCGCAGGGCACGGCAGGCGTGGGAATTCTCGACACCAGAGTGGGTGAACAGGGGGTGCGGTCTCTATGCGCTGCAGGCGCGCAGGGCACGGCAGGCGCGGCATTTTCTCGACACCAGGAGGGTGCGCAGGGGGTGCGGTCTCTATGCGTTGCAGGTGCGCAAGTCACGGCAGGCGTGGGAATTCTCGACACCAGAGGGGGTGCACATGGGGGTGCGGCCTCTATGCGTTTCAGGCGTGCAGGGCGCGGCAAGCGTGGCAAAGTCTCGATAACAGAGGGGGGTGCGCGTGGGGTGCGGTCTCTATCCGTTGCAGGCTCGCACGGCGCAGCAGCCCTGTCATTTTCGCGACATCAGAGGGGGCGCGCAGGGAACGGCCACCAACATCATTTTCACATGCTTCTTTTCAGCTATCATCACTCCAGCCATAGTATAAGTATGTGGGTTCCTCGGTAGCGAAATGTTACTCTCTGTCTCCCTATTAGTATTATTGCTGCTACTACTGCCACTACTACTACCAGTAATATTGCTACGACCACTACTACTACTACTACTACTACTACTACTACTACTACTACTACTACTACTACTACTACTACTACTACTACTACTACTACTACTACTACTACTACTACTACTATACTACTATACTACTACTACTACTACTACTACTACTACTACTACTACTACTACTACTACTACTACTACTACTACTACTACTACTACTACTACTACTACTAACTACTACTACTACTACTACTACTACTACTACTACTACTACTACTACTACTACTACTACTACTACTACTACTACTACTACTACTACTACTACTACTACTACTACTACTACTACTACTACTACTACTACTACTATACTACTACTACTACTACTACTACTACTACTACTACTACTACTACGACTACTACTACTACTACGCTACTACTACTACTACTACTACTACTACTACTGCTACTACTACTACTACTACTACACTGCTACTACTACTACTGCTACTACTACTACTACTACTACTACTACTACGACTACGACTACCACTACTACCACTACTACTACTACTACTACTACTGCTACTACTACTACTACTACTACTACTACCACGATTACTACTACTACTACTACTACTACTATTTCTAGTACTACTTCTACTACTACTACTACGACTATTTTTAGTATTACTTCTTCTACTACTACTACCATTACTACTACTACTACTACTACTACTACTACTACTACTACTACTACTACTTCTACTATTACTACTAGTCCTACTACTACTACCACTACTACTCTGTCTATTTCCTTTACTACTACTACTACTACTACTACTACTACTACCACTGCTACTACTACTACTACGACGACTACTACTATTATTATTATTTCTACTACCACTACTACTACGATTACTACTACTACTACTACTACTACTGCTATCATTACTTTTACTACTACTTCTACTACTACTAC